ATAAGTATCAGCCTTAAACTCAACAATAACACTTTGAAAAGTATTATCGAATGTAGTCACTCAACAGATTTTAACCCTGAAGATTCTATTGGACGATTATTGGGCTTCACACGTGGCATTTTCCCACCTCATATCAGTCATAAATGTGAATTACCAGTGACAATCCTTAAGATCAATTCACTGAGAATTGAGTGTAACATCACCACTGGAGCATACATCAATGAAAAACAAGTACTCACTGTGTATGAATTCTTCCCGACCGTTCCACCAGAATATAAGATCATTGAAGTCCCATCGAACATCATGTTAGGGATGAATCCCTGGGTTCCGCTATTCAGAGATAAATTTTCCTACAGTGGGTAGATACTGGAATCCGGTATTTTACTTGGTGGTAAAAGAGGTGTTTATTTATTTGAACTAACTCATTATTATCCAGACGGGATAATTATGTAGAAAGTACAAAGACGATACAAAATAAGTATTAAGCTTGATTTACGTTGACGATTGAACTCCCGAATATTCGTGATTCCAGCTTATATAGTATTTAAGCGTGTTACGTTACGCCACTGGTAAACAGTGTTGCACATGAACGCTGATTTAGTAAAACAACGAGTGAAGTAAGTTGAACTCAATTCATTGTTCTACTTCTTCACTTTTGTAAATAAATTATTTCTTAATATTTTGCCATTATTTTGGGCATAACAATCATTTACCTTCCGATCGTTGTACAAGCAATAGATCATCTCCAAGTGAAGATTGTTGATCAAAAAGGTCAATTGGTAAATTTCAGAGGAGAGGTTATAATAATAAGATTACACATTAAGACCTAATATGGGCATTGTTTTCAATGCCAAGTCTGGAGGTCGTTATAAAAGTGAATCACCATTATCAATTCCAAGCGGTCATCAACGACCTCTCACAGCGTTAACACCGCAGAATCTAAAATTCCTCAAGAGCTTGATTGAAACTACAAAGAACAAGAAGAAAAAGAAAAGAATGAAAAGGAAAATCCACAGTTTCCTCTGTTGCTGTATCATTATTTACCATTGAAAGCCATGGAAGAGATGCTGAAAATTCAAAAACCCATCGTGTTTGATGAATCTATCGCTCACTATGAGATTCATGTGCATCAGCCTTTCGCATCAGCGACTTTCAATAATAATGATGAAATTCACATTGCCGTCCAGCATCAAGACCTGTGTCTGCTACCGAGTAAGAGTTCACTGCATATACATGGACGCTTGACCAAACCTAATGGCACAGCTGTTATGCAAACAAGATTGGTGAATTGTATTATCCTTCACTTATTTGAGGGAATCTGCTATGAATTGAAAGCCATTGGGATTGACAGAAACAAAAATGTCGGTATTACAACACTGATGAAGAACTATGTCTCACAAACTCCGGATCAAGCTGCTCTTCTAGAGAATGCAGGTTGGATACTAAGAGATGAGGAATCAGCCGTCAATGATGCTAATGGCTATTTTGACATCTCCATACCATTGAATATGTTGTTAGGTTTTGCTGAGGATTATGAACGGATTATTGAGAATGCTAAACATGAACTGATTCTAACGCGAGGGAATACCGCCGTGAATGCAGTCCCAGATTTTCTCACATATGCCCCAGTTATTGTCATTGAATGTTCAAAACACAATGAGCACTTGAAATTCGCGCCAGTACATATTCGTCTTGAATTCGAGTCTGACCGTAATTTCCCTGCTCAAACTGCAGCCCAGTGCTTAATCTTACACGATCGTATTGTAGAGTTTCATCCAATCAGTGGGGGAGTAAAAAATATGATTTAAACAAAAAAAAAACTATTGATATATATTATATACCTATAGTATTTCACTCTACAATGTATCAATTTTTTTACAATAAAGACTTCTACATGACATGTAAAAAAAACACGTGCTTTTTTCTTCCATTTTAGAAACCTTGATTTCTTGAACTGTTTGGTTCTGTATGGATGATGCCGTTGTCTGCTACTGAAGTCACAGCGATTGAAGTCACTCCTTTGAAGTACTAGCCATTGGTTCTTCCTCCAGATGTTTTTTTTTTCAGCATGAGGGATCTCCCCTTCGCTTTTCAATGAAGTACCATCGACTGATTCCTCTCTTTCCTCACCTTCATCCATATTTAAATTGCGGGGCAATTTTACAATTTTATAATTTCCTCCCAATTCCAGGAAATCTTGAAGACATCCTATGCAGTTTGTGGTGGGTTATTGCCATAGTGATTGAGAACAATGTCATCATATGCGTAGATATATGGTGATATTGAGGTTAACAAATCGAGTTCATCAGAAGTCAAGTTGTGGTCATTTTTTGGTTCAATACGACAACTTTTCACAAGTTCCATATACTCTTTCAAATCAGTCAGACAGTCATAAGGCGTTTGTGGTGAATTTTCACCGTAATGTCTAATAACAATATTACTATAGGCCACCAAGAACGGAGGAAGTGCGCACAAAAATTTCACTTCGTCTGTAGTCAAGTGCTCCATAATGGAGAGAAACGCTCTGTTAAGTGCTTCTGACTCTCATAAACGACTAAGAAATGTTCTGGAATAGTGACGACATATGATGTCATTCATCAACCAATCCAAGGCGATTTACCACCCCTTCTTTCGTACAACTTATTTTATAAAACTGCGTAGAATTTTTAGACGTAAACACTTCCAGGAATTGTTGATATGAAATTGGATATTTATATTTTCTCAGAATTGACTGCAACTATTATAAACGTCGCAAAAAAAATGTTCTAAAATAATGACATCTAATGCAACTCTCTAACAAATCCGAATCCAATCCTCCCCCACCCAGACTATTGTCATAAAAACTGCGCAGTATTTCCACACGTAAACATTTCTCAGAATTGTTGACGTATAATGAAGAGTATTGCGCATAATCATGCAATTCAATTCTTCATGAAAATGACCAGATTTTCTGGAAAGCATTCAGTCGTGCTCTCACCAGTGTAGTGTGAAGATGGAAATGATCTTGGACGTTCAAAGATTTCAGAGTGATGAGAATACGTTGATTGTCAAAGAACTAGCAGTTGCATATACTAACGATCTTGAACGGCGTGAATGTATCCTCTTCAAGCCACCCTATTCATGGAATAAATTATCTACTGAATCAAAACGTTTCAACATATGGCTCGTCCACAACTTCTATGGCTTACGCTGGAAAATTGGCAATACACCACCGTACTCTGAACTTCCACAAGTTGTCGTGAAAATTGTAAAAAACACGACTAACTTCTACGTGAAAGGGCTACAGAAAAAACAATGGCTTGAAGGAATTCTTATAAATTCTCAATTGGTGATTGATTTAGAAGATTTGGATTGGTCGAAATTATCAGATCTCGAGCTTTCAAAATGTTCAAATCCTTGTAATGACTCGGATCTGATCCCATTCGTTTGTGCTTTAAAGAACGTGAAAAATTTGAGAACCTGGTACATGAAAAATCATGGTATCAGTCTGCAACGATCTCTGGATATTTTCTGTACCCTGAAACGTCTTAAAGGAATGAGCGGTCAGGGCATTTCTATTCTTCCTAAAAAATTTTTGGTTGTTCGCTTCGCATAGCATTGAAGATGATCGGGATGAATTACCTGAGATTTTACAGAAGGATGAAGATATTTCCTATTGCCGTAGATGTCACCTCCACCATTCTTCCAATCCACCAATGAGAAAGAACTGTTTCTTGTGTAAATTCTTCAAGAACATGAAACTTTATACAAAAAAACCGAACGGAATTATCCTCATTCACTAATCAATTATCAAGAACATGATATGAAAAATGGATATACGTCTTCAAAAATCGAAGTCTAGTGGGAGCAGTCGGCTGGAGGAGCAGCAAAGGCGCACAGCTACCTTTCGTAGAGAATTCGAAAAGTCGAAGACCTTGGCCGGCAGTAAGCCGAATAACGAAGAAGCCGCTCTGGGAAAATACGATGCTGTGAGTGATAATCGATATAAAAATCGAAAATGAACAACCAAAAATATCAGAACGCAATGTGAAAAAGAATAAAACCCAATATTTAGAATGGATTGTTGAAAATAAGAAAAAAATAAAGATATAAATATATATACTCTATGCATCATATTTCTTTCAATCCCCTTCCATTTCTCGAAAAACTAAAAAAATTAAATTAGTCATAGTATAAAATTTGAGAGTCTTACGAGCAGAATTATAACAGAGAGAGAGAGAGAGAGAGAGAGAGAGAGAGAGAGAGAGAGAGAGAGAGAGCTCCACGTTACCGACTGCTGGAATCACTTCCAGCAGTAGACACCTCCTCACACAATTCAAATTTTCCACCACCCACCTGGCTTATTCTCACCGCTCTACGTGACGTCTCGCTGGACCTCGCCAGCGCGTGCACGACTGCCTCTCCCTTCCCTTCCGCCGCTACAACCCCCTCCTGCCCAGACCCTCCTCGCCCAAATTTGACTCAGAAGTGGCCTTACCATACTACTGCCCGCATATAAGGAAAAATTAGTTTATTCATTTCTGCCCAGACTATTGCGATTTTGTTCAACATTAGAAAACTTGGTTTTATTTGTTCTGCTGTCAGCCGAAGAAATTACAGAATTTTCCTCGACCATGAAAAAGAAACACATTTATCGACAATTGACCGACACTGGCTAAACATCCTTAAAACGATTATTATCAGGGTTATAAAGACAACGCTCTGCTCTGTCAACGAATAATTATAGAAAAGATTCTGAAAATCAAAGCACAAATCCAAATTTTTATTATTATACGTATTATACTATTGCGTAATCTCTACGCAACGCGCTCCAATAATTTTCGATAGAAAGAATATTTTTCGTGAAAGTCAGGGCTGTCACACAATCAAAATAAATAAAAATCCAATAATCAAATCCTGCAAACCTCTTAATGCCGATAGGCACAGAGGTGTTAAGGATAGACTTTATTTTTATCTCTGGTATGTGACAATTTGTTATTAAGGATTTTTCATTTGCACAGATACTAGTACGGAGAGTGAACAACTACTGGAGGAGCAATTACAAGAATCTGGGAGGGCATAGGATGTTAGTGGTGGAGGACGATTAAGTATCATTTAATCTAATCGCTTTACCCTTAAGATACGATGAATCATTATATAGATAAATATAAAATTTATTGTCAACGTCGTTTCTCATTCTACAGACTAGTTTTTGATGTATGACAAGCAAGCGAGTATGGGACGACCATTAAACTGTATAAAATTTATGGACTTGAGTATATTATTTTTCCCCTTTAATGTTGACATGTAAGAGAAGTAAGGGCCTTGGTAGTTGTTTGTTGCGCTTGCTCTCATCGTAGATGCATTGGTAATGGGTGGATTGATATGATATAGCCCTTTGGGCGGGTTCAACAACTTCTCCATATTATTTCCCTTATCTTCATTTGTGATGTGCACGAAATTCCAAGACGTCCGTGCAGGGTTACAATCATTTACTAACATTCTGAAACAATGTGAACTTGCATCCTATGTATTTTGTTTCAGAACTTCAGTGAACGAGTATATACACCAATTCCCTCAATACGAGATGACATGAATTTTTCTCTAGCATTCCATCATTTTCTGAATACATCGGCAATAAATCGGACTTAAGTATTAATGGATGTTCATTTTTTGATGCAACCAGAAATTTTTTTCTCTTTTCAAGTAGCCGAAACGGGGTACGAACTAGGTACTGTGAGTGACGGTGTACACTGTTGAAAAAATAAAATTTCATGGACAGTTACCTACTAATTTTCAGAACAGTGACACTGAATGCGATTTATGGGGGGAGAAATCATAAAATCTCAGGTTTCACTGAAAATTCAGTAAAATTCCAGAACTTTAAGCAATGATGTTGAAGCTGGCGAGAAGACGCAGCGAGAATCGCGCGGGGGACTGCGCCACGACTTCTTACGATACTGACTCGTCCCCACCTACTCTGAGGTCCCTTCCTTACGCTCCCTATAGTTGAGAGGGTGGAAGAGATGTCTTTAACATAATTAAAAAAGGGATTTGTGATTAACCAATGCATGGGTCTAAAGACAAACCCTTCGGGACATAATAGCCAGAAGGGTGGAGCGACTCAAAAAACCAAGTCATTACGCGGCGCGATGATTATTTATTTTTTTAATTCGATTTTTTGTTAATTAGCACGAACCCATTGACTCGGCCTTTGACAGGTGTAGAGGAGTCTGGGGCAATATGGACACCCCTGGGTAAAGTGAACACCCCGAAAATTTGGAAGAAAGAAAAATTTGGGAATGGGGAATATTGAAAATAGGAAATTAGAAAAAAATGGTTAGAATGGACACTGCGAAAATGAAAAAAATGGAAAAATCCGAAATTCTGAAAAAAAGAGGTAAAATGGGCATCTAATGTGGTTCATGTGTTATTTCATTTCGAATTCTGGATAATGCGCGCAACCAGTAATTGAAAATCAGTCAGACCCTATTCATATAGTCCAAATGAGGAAAATTGAATCATAAATGAAGTGGTGAAACGAGATGACTCAATTGAACTTGAGGATGAGTTTCTGATCAATATCTCCGGAGCTGGAGGAGATAATGAAATTCCCTTCGAGTCTCTTACAAAGAAAAATTAAAGTGACAAACAGGTACCTGCGAAGTTTAATTAAGGATCTTCATTCCGAGATATTCAGCAAACACTACTGTCTAAATGAAATTGAACAATCTTATGTCATTACTCCACTGGTATAATAATTTATAAGAATGGGTCCAGCCGGATAAGCATGATGAATCTGCCCCCAGCGAATTTCAAGGCGGAAATTTTTTCACATATTCACCACCTAAAAAAACAATTCAGATCATTATATCGATCCCCTGATTTTTTATGCTTGAACAACTGTTTTTATTTTATTTTATTTTTTTTCGAGTACTTCAAAGCTATTTAAAAATCTGAAAAAATTCTGGAAAATCAAAAACATCAAAATTGAAGGGAAAAATTTTGAATTGATTTTTAATTGTTAAATAATATTTTTGATCGACATTTCTTTCTTTTAAAAAATCATTCTCATAGGTAAAGATTTTTCTACTACTTTGACAAAAATTGACGAGATTCTAGCCTCAATTCCACACATTTTGAGAGAAAAAAAGTTCGAATATTCCACCCACAATACATTCAAAAAAAATAAAAACGTCAAATTTTTGCATTTTTTTAATGGAAATCCTTCCGTTAATCATCCTTACAGGTCTGTTAATTGATTATTATATCTGATCTAGTATTATGGCACATCATACTTTTCAAGGAGTGCAAGTGCTGGGCAAAATCGCTAGTGAAGCGATAAAACGATTTGAGTCGACTGGATTGTTAGCTGAGTTTCCAGACAATATCTTCGAATCTAAAAGAGATAGCGAAATTTTTATAATAATCTTGTTTGAAACATAGTCATCATTCTATAAGTTCAGCGGGGAATTAAGTCGGTAATCTTCGAAATCAATCGGGACCCTTCGGGTCAACAGTCAAGAGTCAGCGAATCACCCGGAAAGGTAGTAGTACGAAAAGGTCCGTCAGAGTAATCGCTCGGCAGTTCAACAGCCATGTAATAGATTATCAAATCAGTTATTAGTTCAGTTCATCTACTCAGTAGAAATGATATAGAATATCAACATTAGAGTCAAATCAACGTAGATTTAGTGAATTAACAAGTATTATAGTTTCTCAACGAATTAAGTACATCAGCAGTGAATTATCGAAACATTTGAGTAGGATCAACGGCAGGCGCGTGTCGACGCGTCTCTCAACGTGTACAGTTCCTCACAATTTGAGTTAGATTTAATCGTTACTGCAATTATCGATAGACAATTATCAACGACATTTAATAGTGACTCAACAGTAAATTATCAATTTAGACAATATATTCATTTGAGAATCTCAACGAACTAAATTGAGTGACAAGTGTATAAAGTGTATATAGTATTTTAGGACGTGGTTCGATCCCACAATAAAACTGTGATTTTATGAAACAGTGTTAGAATTCATTTTCCGGCCTCACCTCTGATCACACACCCACAACCACCCTAAACCTAGCTCCTCACCAAACAAATCTTTTTTGTAACTCTTGATCGGCTCTACAAAAAAGGTTATATAAAAAAATGGTATCTGCATTAGATTCCGAGATATCAATTGAAAACTAATCAATTCCAAAATCGGCTTGAACCGTTTTGCTGCTACGCTACTGAAGTGAAACACAAGTCCAATTTCGATTTGTACCAAGTTTGAGTTCAAAAAGCTGCGAAGAAATTTTGGTAACGAACTATTTGTGACTCTCGATTCGCTCTACAAAAAAGGTTATGAGGATATAATGGATATCAGCGTTCCATTCCGAAATATTCATTGAAAACTGACCAATAATAAAATCGGCTTAAATCGTTTTACCGCTCCCCTATTGGAATGGAACGCAGATTATAATGGAACTCCGAAGCTAAGTAGATTCCTATGTAAATTTTCTTTTTCAACAAATTCGGGTTCAGGAAACCTCGAAGGAATCGAATGAATCAAACAATATGGTTCAATTAGAGGGCAAACATGTAAATCAAATCCGTGATTCTCAGAAATTAATCATTTCAAATTATCCCCAGACTAGGAGGCAAGGCCCTAGTGAGATTCCGAGTCAGTCGAACGCGAGCGCTTGAACCGAGAGGTTGAAAGAATCTCTCGGTGTGCTGGATGGAGGAATGGTTGAATAAGCCATGATAAGGAGTTTCGAATTCCACGTCGCCTCGGTGAATAATTGTTGTCGGCAACAGTAGGGGGATGCCCCTGCATCCTCCGCTAGTAAAAATGAGTTATTTCGGCACGCGAAGTGACGACTTTGTTGTTTCCGGCATTATTGAGTCTCGGCGGAACGATTCGAGGCGTATGGGCCCGTGGGCCTGGAGTAGAGAAATCCTCCTGTCGGCTCGACCATACGCCGACGGTCTAGTACAACCCGGAGGCCGTGTCGCGCGATGATCGTAGCGGTAACTGGTGGTTGAGAGTGTGGGTGGTCGTAGCGTGGGTAACGGAGTTCCACCCTGGTCAGATCAGCCTCTCAATGTCCCAGGCTCTGAGGAGTCCCGGCTGATTCGCACTTGACTCTGAAAACTCTCCCGAGTCGAAATACTCGGGAGGAGAAGGAACACTGGAAGAGTTGAAAGACTCCAGAGGGGGCATGAATTTAGTTCATTATGGGGATTATGCTGTAAGGCATAATACACGGCTTGCAAAGGCTCGCGAAGATGTGATAGTAATACTTCTGGTGGACCTCGCCCACTCTACCGTGTCACACTGATGTTAGCTGGGCAACCCGTTGTCCAGTCAAAAAGTCCTCTGAGTGGACGAGTTTGCCTCAGAGGCCGGTTTTCGTCGAACCTCCCGTGAAGGTTTGGCTGGCGCCCAACAAATGAGCGATAGAAAAGGTTTAAAAAATAGTTTCGATTTTTCCTGAGTGAACAACCCGAAAAGAGGTTTTTCGTACCCCCAAGAGTACGTGGGATTAAATTAAGGGGTTTATTGAATTAAATAAGAGGCGAAAGGAAGAAATACAAATTGACGTATATAAATAAGAGAAAAGAATGAAAGAATAACAATTGAAAGATGCTAACTTCCGAGAAGAGGTTTAGAAAGGGGGAAAAGAATCTATATACGAGAGACTAGGGGGTTACATCCCTTGCTCGCTCCGCTCGCCAACCCCGGTGGGGCTTCGCCCCCCCCCCCGCTCGCTTCGCTCGCTCCCCCCTCCCGGAGTGACCGAGTGGGTGTGACCGGGAGGGTTTTTTCAATAGCTCTATACATACTTTACCATAAGAGGCCACATACGTATAATTCCCCCCCATATATGGGCACCACCCCATATATTGTGAGGTATTTTCCCAAGCGCGTCTGCGGGATTCAGGCGCGTGGTTCTCCACGAACTTTCAGCGACCCTTTGGACTCTCCCAACCCGAAATCAGAACGACGGGGATAAACGAGAGAAGACAAAATACCAAAAAGGGCGCCAGTCCTTTTAACCTTCAAAGGACAAGGTCACGATGTCGAAGCGCGTTCCACGACCAGCTCAGGAAACCGCGGAGGCGTGTGGGAACGGGCTAACAATTAATGCGGTTCAACACACTGAAGTATTCGGAAATAAAATAAAATATATTTTTGTCACAACAGTTAAACAATTGAAAAATTCGGCCCAATGCCAGTGAAATAATAATCACTATTTTTACCTGTGCGGGAGAGG